GTCGCCGTCTCCTCCCGCGCAGCAGTCACCGTCGCCGTCTCCTCCCGCGCAGCAGTCACCGTCGCCGAGAGAAGAATCAATAATAATATATTAATAATATTATTATTACATTATTATTAATAATATTATTATATTATTATTAATAATATTATTATTATATTATTAATAATATATTAATAATATTATTATTTCGGTCGGTCCGGTCGGGTCCGTGTCGCAGACGGTTGCGACAGTCGTCGTCTGCGCCGAAGAGGTCTGAGACTGCAGGTTCGAGTCTTGCGTAGACATGGTCTTATTTGTGATTGTCCCTTTACCCCTCATATCATCCTATCATTCATAATTCACACTTCAGGGCGTGACAACCTTGTCGTACTGAGAGATACAGCTGAAAAGCTGATCCTGGAAAAATTACACACGTTAATCGAGTCAGTAATGGCCTATACGCCAATAATAAATAATAATAATAATAATATCCATTAATATAAATATATCCGGTTTTGAATATAAATGAATAATATAAATTAATGAACATAAATAATGACAATTAAACACAAGCATCTTATGAAATCTGATAGCATTCTAAACAATAACTTTCATTAGCAGTGTGAATTGGCCGCATTTCTTTTCACAATACCAGCTTCGACTTCACTCAATTAGGACCACTCTGAAATATTTACGACTAGATCACGTTACCGCGTGGCGACTCGCTGTTCAAATTTAAGTCTAAAAGTACATGTCTCTATACCCATTTCTCAAAACAATCTGTTTAATTGACCCTATACAGTGTGACGAAACACTAAGTCACATTCAACGCTGTTTCTCTTCAGCAATTTTTCCTATAACTTGTTATTTAAGTCATTGACTTCTCGCGTTTAATGATTTGAACGCTATTCATTGTTAGTTGCACAAACATACATGACGGAAAGACGAGCAATTTCACTTTGATTTTTTAAAACGCATGAAATGTAGCATACTACATACGTTTAGGCTACAAAATACATTTGGGTTTTCCCTTACTTTGAAATGGTTTTGTAATTACAACTCACTTTAACTCACAATAAAACATGCATATAACATTCAGTTATCACAATACTTATAATTTCAATACTGCAGAACATGCTGCATTGGATTTATATAGTGCTACGCGCACTAGTGAAAAACCACTCGTGTTTCGCGCGCAGCTTATGTAAGTGGAGAGATATCTTACACTTCCTTTTTTAAAGGCCAAAACTAGTGATGAGAGTTGTATCTTTGAGACATGTCAACGCACTCGAAGAGACCACCACTGCGTCTGTACAGTATTACTCACACCGATATCGGAGTGCTCCATCCGTCCATAATCCACTGTTGTTTCCAGTCTTGTCCCACCAACCCCGCGACAGCCGGCGATGCTCTTTCCTCGTTCGCATTTCTCAAGTGTGCTCCGGCAGCCTTTCACGAAGGGTATTGGCGGTAGACTGTTAATCACAGCATCTGAACGGAGCGTGTTTTGATATACCATGTTTCGGAAACGCTCTGAGAGAACAAGTATTCCCCTCCTGTTAAGATATGTTAAAGAGAAATTGCACCGATTTAATTTGGGTGTGTACGAATACCCAAATTAACCCGCGAACGTGCGAATACCCACGATCCGCCACTGCCAAAAACACATACTTTTAGAGATCGAAGGGTCACGGGTTTGAGTCCCAGAGTCGACACGACTGCATGTGCTTCTTACTTTTTTCTTAATTATTCTTGCATCTCCCATAAATGACCACTATTCCTAACAATTACAATCGTAATTATGTCCCTGCGAAAAGACGTTCTCTTTATTGAATACTAGTCAGTGGCGTATTATCAGGGGAGGTAGTAGAGGCCAGGCTTACCCTACAAAATTAATTAACAACACTAAAAGATATATATTATATATATATATATATATATATATATATATATATATATATATATATATATATATGTTTGAAGTTAACAATTGTTAGATATAACTTTCTCCATAATTGACATAAATGTATATGGCTGGTGAGTAAAGATTTAAAGAAGTTGTTTCTCTGGCTGCAAACGTAGCATTACTACACTAGATGGAGCCAAGCATTTCCATGCGTTACCCATAGGTAGCATCACCAAGTTCTTATTCTCTTATTCTCTATAACAGTTCTATAGCCTGCGGTAGTCTGTATCGCCTTTGGTCACTTTTAACGTGATCCAACGATGGCCAAAATAAAAACCACTATGTATCAATAAATTTTATAATTTTACGAACTGTAAATGTTGCGTCAAATCTGTAAACATTTTCTCTTAACTTCCCTTTAACTAACATATTGTACATTTATATACTGCTACAGGTAATTTATCAGCAGTGCATATAAAACCTCACCAGTTACCTCCACAGCCGTACGAAGAATTTGAGGACGTTCTTAAAGGTATACGAAGTGAATAGCTACAATAACTAAAACAATGTTTTTCAAATGTAAAATAAATTATTTGCATTATTCATTGTCTCTCAATATGTCATTTAACCAAATATTCAGAATTTTCATGGATCTTATACATTCTTATTGTAGCGAATTGACTGTTTCAGAATTTGAGGAAGACATGGAAAAAGATCGCGAAGAATCATTGTCCAACAGCAATGAAGGTATATGAAATGTACCTTTTATTTAGAAAACCGCTGTACTTTTTTTATAAAGTTAGGTCAATTATTTGTTTCAGATGATCAAATAGATCTGAGTGAAAGCACGAATCTTGTGTTTTGGTCGCTGATACTCAATGATGCTAATGAAGCATGTAAGTATCTTTCGCAAGAACACAACGAAACGTAAATTGAACTGTTGTGCCAATTTATTCTCAGCAATTCTGTTCTTTTGTGTGTAATAGTAGATTCAGAATTGTCAATTTTAAATTACTGGTCTGAATTTTGTTAATTGATCGTGTGAAGTAAAGAACAGTGTTAAGTTGTATCGAATCTTAATTGTATATAATTATGTCCTCAAATTTCATCGTCGCATTTTTATTATATACAATTTTCATTTATTTCAGGGATTCTTAGAAATCCAGGAAATTCTTCTTTTGCATCTCTCCTCAACAGCAATGAAAATGGTGAGGAATATACAACTTGTTATTAATAAGCTATTTATTTCCAGATTAAAACACTGCTTCGCCGAAAGGATGCATTTCAAAAATTAATAATTTGCATATATTATTTATCTTTATGTATAAAGAACTTTATTTATAAGTGTGTGTGCCTACGCACAGAAATGGGGGCCCCGGGGAGGAAATTGCGAAACAAAAAAAATCTATGCCTAAATGAAAGAATATTAGTTTTTATGAAACGATTCAGAATGGTTGGTTTGTTTTAAAGCACGTAAACGTATGATTATTACAAAGGAAAGTTTATATCGAAACTGAAAAAAAACATTAATATTGTTTTTAACATCATACCAGGAAAATAGAAAGTGAATGTGGCTATTGGATTCTTCCAAAATATGTCATACCATGTTGGTTGGTGCGATTTGGCTTCTTTTCCCCTTTAACATTTTAAAAGAATATACTATACACACAATTCTATGGTACAATGGTTCAATATATCAGAACAATACCCACATTTCTGTGATACAAAAGCCCTTTTCGTTGAGGCCTAAATTTTGAAAAACATTAAGGTTGATTTTCCTGAAACTCTATCCGAGTTTCTATTTTCCCCTTTGCTTTCAGTAAAGTTGTAGGCCAGTGATGTCAAAGTCTCCTGGTGGCAGTGGCTCGCTTCGTGACACGGTGACATGCCCCGAGCTTCTCAGCGCAGCAACTAGCGTCGGGAAAGGAAACTATCGATTTCCTGTTTCCAACACGGTCAAATCGCATGTAAAAGAGAGGGTATGCACAGAAAAATAAAAGTAAAAATGTAAATAAAAATTACAGCAAAGTTATTAAATTTAGTTATCTGAATCCCGCTTAATAGTATTTCGTGTATAAAGCGTAAAAGCGTTCATTGCTACACTATGACTACATATTGCTCCCTTGGAGTGATGTTATCAACTGCGTGGAGAGGTGAATTTGTCATGCTACCTGTGCCACGGACTCTCGCCTGTGGCTTCACTGTTCTAGGCCTACCAGAGGCATGCATTTGTGCAGGCTCGGCGAATACATAGGTATCGGATGCAGTATTTCCCTAACCTTTCCACTTCATAATATCGGTAATAGTGAATACATCGCCGAAATCATTAAGGCAGGTAGTTTGTATGTGTGTCGTCCTCTCATCATTCATAATCATAACTATTATCATTTCATCTTCCTTACACCCAGGACTAACATCCCTGGGGCGTAAAAATGGACTCAGCAAAAATGCTGATCCCCCTCTAATAATGTTTCACGTGCATACATCCAGGAAAAATTATGACGGGGTCTTGGTGGGTATAACTACGCATTCGCGTGGTCTATAGAAAGGACAATTCGCGTCTAAAAAAATAGTGAATATATCGGGAAATGTGAAAACATGTAACATCTTCGACAACATTCCCGAACATGTTAGCCCTTAGATTTCTGTCTCATTCCAAATAAGTTCGCTTCGCTGATTCATTTTTCAGATTACAGATCCCTGATGTTGACGCATTGTGAATGCATATAAATTCCCTTCACACACAGCGTGACGTCACTCACAGCATGTTTACTAGCATGTCCAGGGCGGCTTTTTGGCCACAGTTTCTTCACAGTATACTACAGTATCTACCAGCATTTTTTTTAAATGAACATTTTGTTTCTATTTAGGTAGGATAATTTTTTTTAATTTTTTTTTCAGATTCTTCTGAGAATTGTTCCTGTTCAAATGAAGAAAATGGATCTGAACCAAGCCTATCTATTCATGAAATTGATGACGTTTTTAAAGGTATCGAGTCTATACTTTCTTCATAAATTCACCACTATTATTTTGTACATCTCTGATGGAAACGCATGTAAAAAGAACTAAGGAAACAATGGTAAACCAAATAAAATGTTATATAAAAATAGCTGTTATTCCATTACACACGTTGATACATCTAGGATGCGTTAAAATGTTTCATTTTCGGTTAGTCGTTTTTGTGAATATGATATATATTTTTTTAGAACCGGATGCAGCCTCTGAAGAAGACATGTCAAATGCCATCCCCGTCATCCGTGAATACATTAAAGGTACGCTTCTAGTCACTTTGCAATTATTTATCGTATGAGAAGAATAGATCATAATAAATGCTTATTATTGAAATTTTATTACACAGTTCTGCTTGAATCAGTTGCAGTTTTCCATTTGTTCCAGAAATAAATATTAATCCACAAGAGTTACCAGATCCATACTTCGTGCGACGGCTTCTCGAAGATGATGCCGAGTACATCCTTTATTAATAAAATGTACTAGTGGTGGTACGACAGCACATTTTTCTCGCATTATCTCTGTTGGTCTCTAAAAATTACGCGCAAACTACTTACATTTTCCAACAATTTTACATTGCATCGTTTAAAGATATAATTTTGAGGAACAGAATTATTAAGAAAAGTCTGGATTATTAATATTCAAGTTTTAGGAAAACGCCGAAAACAGGTTTAACGTCCCAAGTTTCGAAAATAGAGAGAATTAAGCGGTAGACCTCACGTTTTTTTAAAAGAGCGCTGTTTGAGAAAAATATAAGAACCAAATTGGAGGGTTTTTGAGAAAATAATGCTTTTGAAATAGCTTTTATTTCATGCAAAAATTATGTAAAAACTACTAAAATTCTCAGACACTTTTACTTGCCAGTATTTCAAAATCTAAGTTTGAAGAATAGATTCCATTGGGAGAATTGTAATGGTGGGAAAACAGAGAAAACAATTTAACTTTTGCAATTTTCAAAATTCTCAAATCTCTTAACTAAAATAAGACCGCATACCACATTATTATTATTCTTATTATTATTATTATTATTATTATTATTATTATATTATTATTATTTATCTTTTTCTTTAATACAAAAGATGTCGGGGTTACTGCCCAAGACAAAATTTGTCTGTACTATATTTACGGAGGTACAAAGAACGTAAAGTCTACAGATCAAGCACTTCACAATTATTCTCAATTCCCAATCTTGCAATCTATTTCACAATATTCTAGTGATACATTAACTTCTCTGTTTATTTATCCCTCAATCAAGACTCAAAAATTTCCTGACAAAGTTCGCTGTACCAAGTAAAGCAGCTTTCTGCATAGTTCTCAGATGTTTTTGTTGTAATTGTAGAATTTAGCTAGCTTTCTGCCAGTTCTTCGTAACTACACCATTTACGGACACCACCACAGGAACTATCTCTACTCTTCGGAGTCTGTACATATCATTTAATTCGCAGCCAAGTGTTGATATTTTCGTTTTTTTTTCTCTGCTAATGTTGATATCAGCTTTTCATATGAAGGAACTGCTACATCGCCAATCATCGCTGTTTTCGCTGATTTATCGAACAGTACAATATCAGGTCTGTTCCCTTCAACCGTTCTATTCAACCGTCCGGTTATAATTGTCGTGTCCCACAAAATTCGCGCCTGATGTTTACTGATAACTTGTTCAGGCTTAGGTTTATAATATGGTTGTTCCTGTTCAACGATATGGTATTTCTTTGCAAGCGCTTGGTGAACTACTTTCGCTACATTATTATGCCGTTGCAAGTAGTATTCAGTTTGAGCCAAGCATGGGCAACCACTGAATTTATGCTGGATAGACTCATTGGTGCTTCTGCATAATCGGCATTTGCTATCAATCTGTTGGCCCAAGATATTTTTGATATGCTATTTATTATTATTATTATTATTATTATTATTATTATTATTATGATTATTATTATTATATTATAGCCAATTCAATCCGTTGTGGGCAAAGACCTGAATATTCAGGGACATCTTCAGAGCATGTATCAGATTAGCCCCTTTTGATGCTAGGAGTTTTTAATATTTCATTAAACCCATGAGTATATTTTACATACATATACCCTTAAAGTTTTTACAGATTATCTGTCCTATAACATCTCTTTACCTATTTCAGTCTCCTATAGTTACAGTTACGAGTATCATAGTCAATATCTCAGACCAAGAACTACTAACCTTAGTATGAGCCTAATTAACTATTTTCACAGATCGTTCTTTCTTAATTATTTTTGTATTGGAAATAACATAACACTTAGTCGTGATAATTAATTTTGTAATTTAACTCTTCTCCTTTTCTCTGTCATAACATATCTTGAACTGTTCTTGTCCATTTTGTTCCTATATACGGTAGCTCACGGCACCATCTTTTGCTTTCCACGCTTCTTTCCCCGATAAGTGGATCTCAAGTACGTACTGGTGATTTGTGCCCCTCCTGTATCCTTCCTGGCGCCATTCCCCACGTTTGAGCATTTCGTTTATAATTCTGTCTTCTCGTGGCATCGTCTTCACTCCTATGTGGGTTATTTTCCCTAGCATCTTCGATGATTATCTGCCTTCTCATATATAAATCCTTATAAAGTCGAGTGGCCTCTTCTAGTATCGTGTCCCTTTGGTATTCATTAATTCCATTGGTCTTCATTGTGCCTAGTATCCAATATATTTCATTGTTCAATTCTTTTTTATTTTATTTCACTGGTTTCATTGTCATTTTTCACTGGTTTCGTTGATACTATTATTTTTATTGTAACTGCTTTTGGTAATCTCTCAAATCATTTCTAATCCATATCTTTGTAATCTTGTTGACTTTTTGTATTCTCGTTTCCTCTCTTCCAATTGTGACAGTCCTTTGGAGGATTTCTCTTTCTTCAAATAATTTTATTTCCTTACTTATTTCGCTTTTTATCTTGTTTTTACCCCCTCTATTACTTTGAACCTTCAATTTTCTTCCTTGTTTTATAATACAATTTGAATGAGTTGAATAATCGTTTGGTGTTTCTTAAATTACTGCGTTAATTTTTGTTTGAATGTTTTAGCATTAAAATGTATACTGTTGAAAAATAATCTGCGTTTCTTTTTGGAATTAAATTTCTGTTTTGTTCTCACCATTCTCTGATATAAATTGAATTTTCTTTGCACTGTAACATTCAAGTACATCATTAAGGCTATTCTATTCGTTAACAAAAAGTCGATTTTGCTTTTTGTTTTACCACCTGGAGAATACCATGCCCATTTGTTTATCGCTTTTTTCTTTAAAAATAGTATTAATTATCTTCAGTTTCGTCCTGCAAAGTTCTTGTTCCCTTTTAATTTCATTGTCCATATGGGCTTAGGGCATTTTCACAGGGATCCAGTTTGTTACCAAATTTACTGTTAAATCTCCAACCTCAATTGTAATACTAGATCCATGGGTATCAAATGTTAGATCGATATCATTTTCAAAGTTCTCAATTTCGTCTTCGGAATTTATTTTCTGTTGGTGCATATTTCTGTATTATGGTAAATCTTTTTAAGACAATTTTAATACAGAATATTCTCAGAGTTACATGCTTACGTTTAAAACTGTTATCTTTCATATACTTCTTTGTCAAAAACTCAACTATTTCTCTCCTTTTTTGCGACTTATCTAATTAAATATGTCTCGCTTTCTTTTTTCAATGATTGCTTCCCCGTATTTTCTTACTTCACATAGCCCACATTATATTAGATTTAATATTTAATGAGTTTGTTAAAGTTCTTTTTCACCATCCTCTGCTCTTACAGAACTAATATTGAATGTTAGAATGTTAGAAGATTGTACATGACAGTATGTAAAGATAAAATTTTGAAGAACAGATTTCATTGAAAAAACCAGTGTTGCTACAATGGTACATACTTTCCCGCATTATTTACAACTTTTGTAGTTGTCAAAAATTCTGAGTCCCACGAAACTGAAGATCTGCACCATTTTTATTTGTGTACTTTATTCAAAAAAGAGAAATATAACGAAAAATTTGGAGTATATTTTGATAGTATGTTTTATGACATCTAAATAATCAATGATTTTAAAACATCTAACCGAACGGATCGCACGATTTTAGAAAGAATTTTTTTTAAACTTGAAAATTTTGAACCAAGGTGCCATTTTGCAATTGCCTTAATTTTTCTTATATTTAATTAGGCTTTTTTCCATACATTCTTTTTGAAGTACGCAATTATGACCGAAATTTTAGGAAATTTCCCATCGTGCCCGATTACATACTAAGGGTGATAAATAGAGCCTGAAATATCAGGCATTTATTTTGCCTAAAATGGGAAAGCAAAAAGTCCTTTGTTTTTACTAAAATCGTCATGCAAAAAGGCACTCATTCTGGTTACAGTGGGGGTGTAAAAATCATTTAAACAATGAACTATCACCTTTTAAAGGGAATTATATAATATTAATTCAAATGATTCACTTTCATCCTAACTGAAATTTCTTTAGCACTCGCATGGAAGGAAACGATTATTTCTTTGTAATCTTGATTGAACGTGACACCCAGTACAACGGTCTACGAATTTGTTTTACTCGCGACGATGTTTCTAAGAAATGCTATTCCGAACTCCCGTTCGAATCTTGAAATGACATTAGAGAAAATGGATTTATAGTTTTCGTTCTTCACACTTGTGTAATGTCCAGCACCGAGAAGGGTACATCATATACCTCTGTCCCCAAAAGGGATGGAAGGCCATATGAAACATAGGAAGGGATTCCTTGTGAATGAACAGCGAGACGGCATGAATGTAAAAAATCAAAATCCTTGACTATTACTTTCTTCCTCATTCAGAGTTTTAACACTACCTAACCCTGAAGCCTCCACTTCCACGAAAAGACAAAACATGACCGTGCCTTCGTGTTGTCCAGGATTGCAACTACGTTTCCAGTTTGAACGAGGTCAAAGCCACGAGAAATCAAGAAAAATAAAGACGAAAAAGGAAGCTAAGACAAAATACCAAAAATATGCATCATTAGGTAAAATAGCCTAAAGAGACAAAAATGGCAAAATGAACAAGTTCAGAAGTACAATAAGTGATTCATATTATTAAAAGTCATAAAATCATAAAAATAAAAAAGGTATTTTCCCAAACTTTCGGTCTCTACTGATAACACTCGTCTACGAATTTTTTTTCTTCTACGTCAAGAACGAAACACTATTTCCGAAAGTTAATTTGCCTCTCAATCCAGATCTAATTTCAAAATTGCTGTATCGGTCTCAGTTTTTATGATATGATT